TCAGATAGAATATTTATCCAATTTCAACATACAGTATTCATATAGAATACTAGTCCAAATAGAGCATACAGTATTCAGATAGAATATTTATCCAATTTCAACATACAGTATTCATATAGAATACTAGTCCAAATAGAGCATACAGTATTCAGATAGAATATTTATCCAATTTCAACATACAGTTTTCACATAGAATACTAGTCCAAGTTGAGCATACAGTATTCAGATAGAATATTTATCCAATTTCAACATACAGTATTCATATAGAATACTAGTCCAAATAGAGCATACAGTATTCAGATAGAATATTAGTCAAACTTCAACATACAGTATTCACATAAAGTATTTAAATAAAATATTAGCCAAACTTCAACATACAGTATTCACATAGAATATTAGTCCAAACTGAGCATACAGTATTCAAATAGAATACTAATCCAACTTCAACATACAGTATTCACAAATGATATTCAAATAGAATATTAGTCAAACTTCAACATACAGTATTCACACACTATATTTCCATATGGAATTCAAATAGAATATTAGTCCAAATTCACATGTAGTATTGAATTAGAATACTGGACCAAATTTAACATACAGTGTTCATTATAGACAACTAGTCCAAATTTAACAAAAGTGTTCAAATAGAATATTAGTCCAAATTCAACATACAGTATACAAACAGAATACTAATACTAATCCTAATTTGACATACAGTGTTCAAATAGATTGCTAATTCAAATAGAATACCAGTCCAATTTTAACATACACTGTTCACGTACAGTATTCAAATAGAATACTAGTCCAAATTTAACATTCAATATTTACATCTTGCTGCAAACTTAGCATCTGCTGCCAGTAATCCATTTTAAAAGCATTCAAGTACTTGGTAACTGAACGTATATCATTAAAAATTCAAGTACTATTATGATTATAATAAATTCAGCATTAATATCAACACTGAAAAAAAGAAATGATCATAAATTGCAATGACCATAAGACTAAATCAATATAAATAGTCACGACGTGACTCTCAAGAAAGTTTTGTTTAATATATAAAATTTGAATGTAAAATTAAGTAACCAAGTACTTTTTGTATTTTTTAATTAGTTTTCTTTCCTGAAGAAATAAGAAGCAACATTAAGAGAGAGAGAGAGAGAGAGAGAGAGAGAGAGGAGGGTTTAACATCCACTGGACACAATGTAGATCATTTTTGGACTCACATATGGTTCAGTTTTATATTGAAAATGGAGAACCTTGACAAAAAGGCAGGAGGTTGGACAGGCGCCCTTGCCACTCCTTGTCACGTACAACCAGGGAATTGAAACCATGCCACTTGACTCAATGACAGACCTTATGATACAATGCGGGCGCTAACCACTCGCTCCCCCCCCTCCCAAATGCTATTGAAAAAAACTCATTGAAACTAATGGAAGTATTCCGAATTTACATAAAATGTGGCATATTTAGGTTTGTGGAGGGGGCACCACTCAGCTATGCTTCCTCCATCTCCCCCCATATCCCTCCTTTAAACTAAGTTCAGTTCCCTGACCATTCAACTACTGTGACCCAGTGATGGGATTTTGCCCGTATATTCTGGACTTGTCCAAATCTTTTTTCCAAACGCCCAAAATTGTTCGATCGGGAATATGCCCAATCGGACATCAAGACATGGTGAATAATATTCAAAATTCCGAAATTAATATAGTTTACTGAGTGTATAACTACCACTCAACCCGATTATCGTCGATAATACGCTGGGTTTATTAGGTAATTAAGTGATCAACGTATTTATCGTGTTATACCGTCTATGTATAAACCTACCTTGATTTAACTACTTAATCTGCCTTGATTGACTGACTTAATCCTTTGTCGGACAATTCATCAATCTAATCTTAAACAGAAGTCATTGCTTTCCTTTTGTCGGACTATTCATCAATTCAACAAGAATGATTATAATTTTAATCCACCCGTTTGCCTCATGGTTTCTCATTTGTCGGGCATCTTAATCACATTGATGTGAGCCGACATCATCTATAATAAACTAATCATAGATGTCACATATCGTAAGAGTAAATAACACCCTAAATCAATGGACAGTCATTTTGTCTACGATATCTTTTACGTCTTTTAAGAATCCATATAGAAATTCTCATCCACAGTGGCACTTTCCCTTGATCTCAAGCGCGGCACGAATATTGCTTAACATATTATTAGGCAGATGCCGAAGCAGGATCGGCAAGCTTTCATTCAACATATTAAGAAAATGCTTAATTTTGTAGGACATTTACTGACATAAATTTGAATGCCGTACGGGAATTAAATGTGAAAAATAGCGAGGTCACAATTTTTATTATGTACGGGATTTGAATATTTTGTTGACATGTGGTTTTTAATTGTGGTATGAATTGAATACTGTACGGGAATTAAATATGAAAAATAGCGAGGTTCACCTATTTTTATTACGTACGGGATTTGAATATTTTGACATGTGACTTTTGTGGTACGAATTCGTCTGCTTAAATAACGATAAGAGTTATGCCCCTTTATTTTCGGTAAAATGTCCGACAAGAAAAATTTTGAAATCCCATCACTGCTGTGACCCCATCACATAACAGATCACACAGTCTAATAAATTTGAACAAGTACAAGCCTATATTGATGCAATCTGATTAAATTACGGATCTATATTTTTTTTTTTTTTTTTTTATACTTTCGATAGCCCACACTACATGAAGATTTGACCTGTTGTAGCGATAAGTCTCATCAGAGGTCACACAAGTGGTTTTTGACCCTATGATGTAACAGATCGCTTCATTGCCTAAGCCCTCATACCATTCAGAACACATCAATGATAACAACTCTTCCAGATCCAAGTGTAGTAAAAACAAGTAAAACGAAATTTTTAACTATAAAAACGAAACGATATAGGATCTGTGTTTTAATCAGATTGACATTGGCGGAACCTTACGCGTCGCTACCAGTTCCATGTCCATAAATCAATCTCGACACGGTCCTTTAAATGAATAATATATGATCGAACAGCTTGTTAATATAGATATAATAACTAGACAACATTAATCATGTAATTATTCAACTAAAATATGATAATATCCTAGATGAAAATCGTATTTATTCATGTCTAACACTCGTGACAACAACATGAAACTAAAATATGATAATATCCGAGATAAAAATCATATTTATTCATGTATAGCACTCGTGACAACAACATGAAACGTATTAGTCCACGCCAGACATAACAAAAACATTTGGTTCTGCATAATGAATTTATATTATGTTTAGTTTTCTGAATATCATATCATTCGTATAATAAATTATTGAGGTCAATTATTCTTCACATTTAATATATCCTTGTCAGTTTACGTGCAATAAAAGTTGACAAATGCACACACATATTTTAAGAAGAAGAAGAACTTATTATTTATTTAGTTTGCAAAAAAAACTAATCTTCCATAAGTCCATCCTAAGCTACAAAGACATATATACATGCACCCTGTAGCTAAAATTTATACCATGCCTTCAGTGATCAGCCAATGAAAAGGCTGAATTCTTGAAGTATTTTAGTTTAACTGATCTGTAAAACCATTATGTCAGAGTAAATGATAACGTATTTGATAGTAGCGTGGCAATGAGGAATTATGTACAACTCAGCCATCCTAAGCTCAAGCCTAATGGTAAGGGGATATGCTAATTGTAGGCCAGTTCATGGGGAGGTTCAGGTCTTTCTAAAGTCCAAAATAGCTGCTTTATAGAAATGAGTATTTTGTCATCTTATCACTATTTCAAGGTCAGAGGTTAAGGACAGAAACTGATGAAATGATTGTTTAAAATATGCATGCTGTACCAATTAATTCAACATATGATCTAGATGTGAACAAAATCTAGTAACCCTTACAGCACCTGGTAAAGGGAAATACTATATTAATTATCCAGGTTCTCTAAAACAATTAAAGAAATGTGAGTTTTATAGCTCATTTTTTAAACCTTTTGAAACTAATGCTCCTTAGGCTGCCACAAACTGTCTGAGGCAAATATCTAGTATAAGATCTGTAAAGAGTCTACAGTTATTCACACGACATCTCCGATTTGAGGTTCTAAAAGGAACAGTAGTTTTGGGAGGTCTATATAGGTACCAAAGGGTTAAGCTTCACATAGAAAACATTCCATATTTGTATTTGAAATATTTGTAATAAAATAAAAAGTTAAATTATACAATTTCTAAGGAAGGATGCCACCACAGCTAATTAAAAAAAAATACAATTTGAATCTAAGAAATATGGGAATGAAAGAAATCATGCAATCGTGCAAACCTAACGATAGCCCAAATAATAATCCAAACCAGAAATTTCAGATTTAAAAGTATTGACTGGAGTGTCTTTCTCAAAGCAATAATTTTATATCAATATTTTGACTACAGTCAGGTCACTTTTGGGGAAGTCTGCTAAATATTGCTCTCAGCCCAATAGAAATGATTGGTGAAATATATGATCCCAAACCACAGCTTCTTCTAGAAGAGAGTTTGCTAAGGGTTTACCTTCACAAGTCATGACTCGGCTGGGTCAGGGTTGGTCATGCCCATGATAGCAGTCAATTACACTATGATCAGTAGTCTGAGTCAGGATGGGGGTTGGATGGCCGAATGGTTAGCACGTGCGAGCTACGGCGTATCATATGGTCGGCCATTTAGTCAACTGGCATGGTTTCGATTCCGCGGTTGTACGTGACAAGGAGTAGTAGGTTCGCCTGTCCAACTTCGTGGGTTTTCTCCGGATCCTCAGGTTTCCTCCCACCGCTAAAGACCCCTACGCGCAAGCGAATTATTTAAATAAAATTGAACCATGTGTTAGTCCTGAAATGACCTAGTTTGTGTTGAGTGGACGTTAAACCCCATTTCTCTCTCTCTCTCTGAGTCAGGATGGCCTCAGTACATTATTCTGTACTATTCTACTAGTTAATCTCATTGTAAAACTTACATTAATTCTTTCTCCAGGTCGAGCACACGTCCGTTTTGTTCTGGAGAAGTTGCCTCCCCTTTGTCTATGGCTGAATCACTAGACAACGAGACGGATAATGAACTGTAACATAAAAATCTCGGAATAATAACAGGAATAAAAATAAAAATAAAATAGCAGGGATCCAAAACACCATCGAATAATAATTTGTATCTATTGATCCAGATCAACCCAGTAGCATGTCTGGATTCAACTGTTGGTTAATTAGAGATATGGGCAAAGCATGGAGATATGCCCACACAGCAGCTATGTCTTGACAGCAGCTAATTCGAAAGGAAAACTTGGATGTTGACCAAATTTGATGAGAATCCTGATCAATAATATCATGTTCACAAGATTGAAAAAATCCACTAAGAACTGTAAAACCTATCACGCTCGCAAGGTTTTCAGAAAAGGGGAAGTAACTAAGAAACTGAAGGCTGCGATGTTAAACATTTATAGGGTTCGTCCTTGCCGACCTCAAATCTCTTAAAGTCTGTCATTTTCTCTGTGAATATCAATAAGGCTCATCCTCTTATGCCCCTAATAATGCTTTACACTAAATGTTTTAAAAAATCTGTTTCAAACTATAGTCTCTATTGTGTTAACAAGGTTTTCAGAAAAGAGGGGATAACTCCAGAATGGAAGTTCAGAGAATGCTAAATATCCACCGAGTTCATCCTCTCATGATCAAAATGCTTCACACAAAATAAATTTGAAAAAAAATCTGTTAAATATTGTAGTCTCTATCTATTGTACAAGGAGCGGAAGATTGTGGAACATAGAATATCCGTAGGGTTTGTCCTTTCATGAACCAAATGCTTCACACCAAATTTGAATAAAATTGTTAAAAACTGTAGCCTTCATTGCATTAAAAAGGTTTCGGAAAACAGTTCATCGGCTCATACAGACCGATGTACAGGGGTGACAACATAATACGCTCACAGTTGATAGCTATATGCTATGGAGCATTAAAAAGGTTTCGGAAAACAGTTCATCCGCTCATACAGACCGATGTACAGGGGTGACAACATAATACACCCACAGTTGATAGCTATATGTTATGGAGCAAAAAGCTAAATCTTAAGCGACGGAATAAAATCAGAATACCATCTGAACAGAATTGAATGGAATGTGACTGTTAACATCTGGTCTACACTTTATGTAAGTCATTTTGGTACTGATAATCTTTATTTCTACAGTTATATCTACATGGTAGCACGATTAACCCAAACCCACCCAAATCTACCATTATTTCAACTTTAAAGACCATAATTTATATTGATATACCATTCTTTATGCCAAATGTTTCCGTATCAACATGTCCCACAAAATGCAATTTCCAAGCAAGTTTGGAAGTTGTAACCAAATCCACCATTATTTTAACGCATGACAATAATGTATATCGATATTCAATAATATACCGTTCTTTATGCTAAATTGTCATTTTTAATTAAAAATCGTAGCGTTTTTGCATCAAAAATCACCTCAAAATGTGCTATCCAAGCAAGTTTTGAACGTGTAACCAAGGAACATAACCTGTGTATTGCACAAAATCGCTGGCTTGGAAATTGCCTTTTGAGGGGCATTTTTGAAACAAAAACGTTAAAATTTTAAATTAAAATGACAATTTGGCATAAAGAACAGTATATCATCAAATATAGATATAAATTATTTTAATAGTAGTAGAAATAATGGTGAATTTGGGTAGGTTTGAGTAAATCATGCTACTACATGTATATGTACAATGTAAAGTGGAGAATCTGGCACAAACAGCAGCATTTCAAATGTCAAGTATCTTTAGCAGTGGTGCCTGGTCATCACAGACTACCTTACCATTCTATACTTAGTTTTGGTCAAATTAACCAGTCTCTAATGAAGGACTGACATAAAGTGTCGATAAGATGTTAAATTCAAAATAAAGACAATAAAATTAAAAGAATGTTTATCCCCAAGTCATATTGATGTGCAATGTTTTCATAAAAGAGAAACCATGCCATTTCAGAGAAAAGAACCATTTTACCCATGCTACAGTTATCCATAAGGTTGGAGTCAATGATCGCCATTTATTTATCTAGGACAATATCTAATTTTTCATGACTTCTTCCAAGCTGTACTTAGAATGTTGACAAAATTCCAATGTATCATATCTTTGTAATTACCACTGGAGGCGGGAACAAATTGCGGGACCTTGAGCCTGAGTAGAGTCCCAAGTCCCTGCTCGTCAAGTCCCAAGTCACTGCACGTCCAGTACCAAGTCCATGACTTTAGTACTGAGTAGAGTCCCGAGTTGCTGCACGTCGAGTCCCGAGTCCATGACTTTAGTACCGAGTCCAGTCCCAAGTCACTGACTTTAGTCGAGTAGAGTCCCAAATCGTCACAAAGCTCAAGTCTTGTTCAAGTCGGCAGTTCATCAAAGCAGTCAGCAAGTCATGGCAAATATAAGGCAAGTTAGTGTTATGCCCTGAGTCCTAAGAGCTCTTTCAAATTGCAAATCAAGTCTTGAGTAGCAATAAACATTTCAAGTCGAGTCGCAAGTCAGTAACTGACGCAATTTAAGTTCCCACCTCTGGTAATTACTGGATTGAATTTAATTATTATTACTATACTGTAGAGTCCACAGATTATCCATCCTTAAAATGACGATCAGAGACATTAAGAAATAGAATTATGGGATGAAAAAAAAAACAAAATCATTTTAAATATTTCAACTCTTCTCTGAAGATCTAATACTTTAAATAATAACTTTCTCTAGATCCTATCTGAAGTAACTTTACAGGTTTAAATATTGTCCAATTTCCTTCGTAGGGAGAAACAGTGGATCGGTGATGGCCGAGAATGTTCAACAGGACTTTTCAAACACATTTCCCCTTGTCAGAGTGTCCGATCGTTTGGATGGAACAAAAAACCAAGACCCCTCGGATACAATTGGCTGCATGTCAAAGATATATTAAGATGGCAAACAATTACACTAACATCTTTCCCCAGAGTACCCGATCGTTTGGATGGAACAAAAAACCAACATCCCTCGGATAAAAATCTGCTGCATGTCAAAGATATTTTCAGATGACAAACAATTACACTTACCTTCGTCTGTGGATTGAAGATTCTTCATTATGTTTGTCTTTTTCTCGATCATCTTCCAAGTTCAATTTACGTAGAATTTTTGTTCTCCAGCTCTCCTCCTTGGGGACATTGTGCTGACTTTCTTCTCCAAACACTTCGTCGCTATCTCCCGTACTTCCACTACTCGAATTACTACAAGCATTCACTTGTGTTCTCTTGTTTTGGAGGTAGAGTTGCATGCCAGACGCATGTTCCACGCTGACAGAAAGCTGACGATTGTAAGGCTGACTGGAATTTTTTGGTGCAACTTCTGAAAACATACAAATATCAAGAATTCGATACATGACAAATGTTTGATTGTTAAGTCAATGCCAAAATATATTAAATTCTGAAAATAAATAACGTGAGCATGATATTCCACAATTTAGTCAATTCAAAAGAATTATTCAGTTCTGAAAATAAACATCGAGCGCATGATATATATTCCACACACATTTCAAAAATAAAATTTACTGGATTACACCATGATTCGAACCAAGACCAGTATTCTAACTACACAACCACCACGGACAAGGGATGAGAGAGAGAGAGAGAGACGGACCTTATGATCCAAATTACAAGCGTTAACCATTGGCTACACAGCCACCACTGACAAGGGGTGAGAGAGAGAGAGAGAGAGACGGACCTTATGATCCAAATTACAAGCGTTAACCATTGGCTACACACCCACCACTGACAAGGGGTGAGAGAGAGAGAGAGAGAGAGACGGACCTTATGATCCAAATTACAAGCGTTAACCATCGGCTACACAGCCACCACGGACAAGGGGTGAGAGAGAGAGAGAGAGACGGACCTTATGATCCAACTTACAAGCGTTAACCATTGGTTACACAGCCACCACGGACAAGGGGTGAGAGAGAGACAGACCTCATGATCCAATGCACAAGTGTTAACCAATTGGCTACACAAACACCACGGACAAGGGAAGAGGGAGACAGACCTTATGATCCAACCCACAAGCATTAACCATTCAGCTACTAACCACCAAGGACAAGGGGAAAACGAGACTGGAAGATGTTTTGGAACTTCTTTGGCTAACACCAGAATTCAACCCAGGACATCCAATCTGATTACAGAACGGATCCATTCCTTCATTCGTTCCTGGGGTTTAACGTCCATTTACACCTAGGGTGATATCGCAGACAAGCACACAGAGATCCAATTCTGTTTTTGTTTTTATAGTGCCAAATTTCCTGTTACTAGGATCTAGAAGAGTTTTATAATTATCCTGCATTCTGGTTTGATGTGAGGGAATAGTTCCTTATTCATGTATTAGATACATTATTAAATTAGGAGAGAGGTCATATAGGCTATGCCTGTTCGTCAATCCCTTTCAATTTCTGAATAAAATATTGTTTAAAAAAAAAAAAAAGAAAATAACAAAAGTTTTATAAAGGGCAATATTTTAGATAAAATAAGGCAAACAAATAAATTATTATCTTAAGTCTGAGAATGCTTTGTGAACTATGGACCTTCTTTTCAATCATACTAGCCATATATTTCAAAATTAAATTTACTGGGTTACATACTTTTTAAATACACTCGTTTTTCTCGTCGTAGTTTTAAGACTGTACAAAAATCATCAAAGAATCCAGAATCCTGATTGCTGAAGCTAACACTACTCCGGCTAGCCATCTTAGACAATTTGGAACAGTACAATTAATTTAAAGTTCGAAATTCATCAAATATAATATTTCTTGTAAATTTCAACACTTTTCACTTCCATCAAACAATATTCATAGCACACTGTTTCATCAAGAAATCCAAAACGAATAAAATCAAGTTCTAGCAATCTCTGATTGCATTTAACAACAAATGATGTCTATCTGCACTCTTTCTTCATTTAGTTTCTTAGATCAACAAATCAAGACTTGTTGAAATTCAACAATGGAGTCTTAAAGTCTTTTTTTTGCTTTTGAGACATGACTTGTCCAAATTTATCACTGTTTGATGAAGTCTCTCTTGCTCGAAATCCATTTACTTCAAGATGAGAATATACTTGCGTAACTTTCTATATGTTCGATGAATTTTTTTTTATCCCATTTAACATATAAAGTTGATAGACCTAGAACTTTTCCTATTTATGAGTTTCATAAGAACAAATAAACAAAACCAATATCAGCAGTTTTAAGATCTGCATTCTACCAATATGTATGCAGAATTTAACTCAAAGGAGTCAGCTTCACAGATCACATCCTGCACAAAATTGACTGCAACACTCCTTGCACAGCACTGTGTATTCTACTTTCAATTTGAAAATCTGAGGTTCTATGAGAAGTCATTGCTAAGAACTGATCAAAACCTGTGAGATGACTAGCCTCCAGCACCAAGGTATAACCTACCTTTTAAACTTATAAAAATATATATATTGGATATATATACAAAATGACACCAGACAAATGAAACAGGTGCATTGTAAATACAAACATTGATTAAAAACTGATATAGCTGACACTAACTAAATACTAATATAATGTTTATTACAAGTAGTGCTATATTTAATTCCTTGATAAGTATGTAATTATCAGATTAATCAAATAACTGTTGTATATTTCACAAGGTAATCATATGTTAAAATCATCAATAAAAATTTAAAACACATTGGCCTATAGCAATCGTAAAATAAATATATCAAACTTCAAACAAAGTTTTGTCAACAATTAATTTTAGAGTTTTCATTTTAAATCTAGATATGTGTTTCCTATATACCGGTACTCAAAATAGTTTACCAAGAATTTTGTCAAGTTTTTATAGATCTTTAAATAATATAAGACAGAATCAAATTTTTGTCAACATTTTCTTCACAGATTTCATTTTGAATCTCAAAATATGTTTACTATAATACATGAAATTCCAACAGTTTACCAAGAATTTGTGTAATTTATACCAAAGTGTTAACAAAACAAAATTGTCAACATTTTTTCCCAGTTTTAATTTTGAATCTAAATCTATGTTTCCTATACTTCCAACAGTCTACCAAGAATCTTGTGAATTACTGGATATTTCTAAAAACTTTTTTGAATTTAACAGTTACACAGAGCCTTAAAGAACATCATATAAACCCAACTCGAAGCAAAACTGAAAAAAGTCGTCAAATCTGAAAAAACTCAAACTCAAACCATAGATGATGTGAGGTTAAATAAATTTTCCCACGAACAAACTTTGTGAACATCGTATGCGGTCAATTAAACAATTCCAACTGATGAACCAGTCATAGTTAAACAAACTAATATAATATCAAACTGGAGAAACATATTTTGTATATGTACCGGTACAATAAAATTAATTCAGTCAGTAGACTGTTAACCTAGTTTAGATTGAACATCATGTTAAAAGTAATTTGAACCTAGTGTTGATGTAATAAATATTATAGAGATAATGATCTGACACTGTGGCTTATACCTTCACAACCATATTAACATCATAGGCTATTGCCACCTTGGTACCTCACTGACATCAAGAGAGAGAGAGAGAGAGAGAGAGAGAGAGAGAGAGAGAAATGGGGTTTAACATCCACTTGACACAAACTAGGTCATTTCGGGACTAACATATGGTTTAATTTTATTTCAATAATTCGCTTGCGCGTAGGGTTCTTTAGCAGTGAGAGGAAACTGGAGGACCCGGAGAAAACCCACGAGGTTGGACAGGCGACCCTACTCCTTGTTGACTCAATGACAGACTTTATGGTACAGCGCGCACATGCCATCCAACCCTCCTCCCGGACATCAAAGTCAGTCTTCTGACCCAATATTACCAATAGTATGTTAATAATAATAATATGTCCATTTATAATATGTCCATTTATATATAGGGAGTCACGGTGGCTAACTTGGTAAGATGCTGGCTTGCTTTTAAAAAAAAAAAAAGAAAAAAAAAAGATGCTGGCTCACTAGGCTGGAGGTCGCGTGTTCAATCTCTGCATTGGCCGAGAATGTTCATCAGGATTTTTTGACGTGGTTTCCCCATATTAGTGGTGCAGGATGGATGACAAGGACAGCTGTCTAGTCTTTCGGAAGGGCCAAAAAAGGAGGTCCTGTGTACACATTGGCATGCACATGAAAGATCCACTGGCAGTTGGAATACGATATCAGAATAGGCCATAGTGCTGCTGCCCGGGCAAAATTTCCCTCATAGCACACTGTATGGCGTGTGCCCATCTTCATAAGCCCAGTCGGAGCAGAACAGTAGGACAACAAATCCAATTTCATTTCCCATTGATATAGTGTCAAATACAAAAAAAACCATGCTCATAGGGGATACAATACTATATAAAAAAGTTAATTACCGGTACCCCACTGACATATCAATGTCAAAGGCTATTGACCTGATATTACCAACGGTACTGTTAATTATCGGTATCGTACTGACACTATGACTGAGTGATACCTTTATAACCATATAAACATCATCGGCTATTGACCTGATACTTCCAATAGTACCATTAATTACCAGTACCTCACTGACACTTAATCATATTAATGTCACAATAATACCATTAGTTACCGGTCTCTCACTGACTTATCAGGGGGATTGGTGGCTGACTGGTCTGATGCATGCATTTTAGAAGATATGGTCTGTCATTGAGTCAAGTGGTGTGGTTTTCAGCTCAAGATTGATTGTGACAAGGAGTAAGACCACTTGTTAAACCTCATCAGTTTTCTTCAGTTTCCTCCAACTTCCCTACAGGGAAGCCAATTATTGAACAAAAATGGAACCACATGTCAGTTAAACCCAGTATCTCTCTCTTTCTCAGTAAAATATATCTATATTAATCATATTCTTTTTTTTTTTAAACAATATTTTATTCGGAAATTGAAAGTGATTGAGAAACAGGCATAGCCTATATGACCTCTCTTCTAAATACAAGAATTAATATGGACATGTAAAAGAAATAAGTGAGTAACCAACAAAACAATAAAATGAATACTTCATCAATAACATTTTGTATTTACATATTTACAAATTGGCTACACAGTTGTTCATGTTCGCATATCCTTGACACAGTCACCATGTTGTTCAGATGGAGGTTAACAACCTCCATGTTGTGACAAACTGATACCCTGATAATCATATTAATACAACACAAGGATATTGAACTGATATCACTAATAGTACGGTTGATTACCTCACTGACATATATCTATTATATATTTTATTTTATTTATTAAATTTTTTAATTATAGGATGAAATAAAAATATATTCACATGAGATAAAATTGAATTTCACATTGAAATGAATTAAAGGTGACA